GGGTTAAAAACAAGTTAACCCCTAGAACATTGTCTTTATCTTTATAGAAACAAAATATTCTTCGTTATGAATAAAATTTTGAACGGATCTAATAAATATATCATTGATGAAAAGATCATGCCAGATTTTTTTTCTTTTATGTTCCGGTTCCCACGAAAAGGGATATCCTGTAATGTTCAGAGAACATCGTGAGAACCAAGGAAAATAAGGTAGGAATTGGTGTTCTTCTTGGATTTCTGGAGGTTATATGCCTCGGGGAACACCTGCCTTGGCAATGTGTTCCAAAGCCTCCCTGTTCGTTGGATGAACGAGTCTTTGGAAAGAGGTGTTCTGCAGGTCCTCAAAGTGACCACGAAGGGGTGCGAAGCCTCAACTCGACGGGTTAATCTCACGGGGACTGCCAAGAGAGGAAACATTTGTTGATATTTCAGAAGAGCATCGTCCATGAAAATATCTATAAAATAGAGCCAGATCGCCAACTTTTCTACGGTGTCCCAGAGAAGTGAGTGAGCTCGTGAGCGAGGCATCACCCACGAGACGAATTGCCCTTTTTTGGACAGAATCAAACAGTTTCAGGGTATATTTGGGCGTTGCACTCCAAATATGGGAACAGTATTCAAGGACAGGTCAGATCTGTGCCTCATAGATCATAAGCAGCAGAATGTAAGTGAAATAGCTCCTGGTCCGAAACAGAAAACCAAGTTTTTGGAATGCACTTTTAGCAATTGCATGCCTTGCGCTCAATCTTGCATGAAATATCACCTTATGTTTGAATTCCAATTTTGAAAAATATATTATAATTCTCTCGGATTGAATATTTGGAAAAATGTGTGTTTGAAAGAAGTCCCAAGAATAGATTGGAATTTAAATTCCGTTCATTATAGGTACTTCCTTCTTTCAGAAAATTTACCTATACCTCATTCGTGCCTATAGTCACTTCTCTTCCCAAACCATGGCATTTCAACTTCATGCGAATTTGCAATTAAACTTATTGCAATTCAACTAAAAATTTGTCTTTTGCAAATATCCGATTGTTTCTATTCGGAAACTAAAGGAAATAGGAAAACTGCCAAAAGAGGAATGTTCAGCAACCGAAGGGCACGATTTGGATTTGGAAACTCAGAGCACATCTTCAATAAATCCAGTCATGAATATAATGGGGTCTACAAATGAAGGAAAATTCCTATTATACATTTTATACGGCAATTTTTTGAGTTGTAACACATTGGAAAATTACTGCTTTTCAGGCGTGACATCTCTTAAAAGTGTCGAATATGATGAATCAAAACTGTAACATGTCGAAACTTTTTCTTGAAAAATTGGGAAAAGATATTCTAAAATATTATAACTAAAAATTTCCCATGTAAACCTATGACATAATAATATTATTTGAACTAAATATACTTTTCGCGGTAAATGAAGCTAACCAGAGACAAATTCATCATCATTGAGTAGTGAAAATGTTCAAAGTAGATTTTCTCAAAACGAAGAATTTTCAATTATCACACTCATGTTCTCAACGTGCGATTGTAAATAATAACAAAATAAAGTCATTGTGTAGTTAGATAACCTAAATGAATACATACAGTATACCTAGTACCTCATTGATTTATCGAAAAAAGTAAAACGAGAGCAATGTTTTGTTATAGCCGTAGGAAAAATATAATAGTAGATATTTCAAGATTCACTTTTAGTGAATTCAACAGTTGTTTCTGATGAGAGCCCAAAATATTCAGTTATGCTATATCGAATTGATTTAATATTAAACATCCCCAGGAACAAATTACAACTCCTGTCAGAAAATTAATGAGTTAACTTGGACCACGAAGTAATTCATGGAGTTTGGTTGAGAACTTCAACGATTATAAGTTTCTATTATACATGCAGGTTTGTTCAGTGTTCAAGTATCAACATTATACGAGTTGTAGTGGTTGGCATACATAATTCTTGCGATTATTTCGTTGAAATTGTTTCAAGTAGCACCTGTAACATTGAGCTCGAAGCATAAAAGCCTACGATATTTTCATCCGTTTTAGCGCACGGAAGAGATTCTCTATTACCATCTGAGTCGATCCACCTGAAGTGGAGTGAATATAATGGGGCAAGAAGAAACTCCACCAAAACAGTAGATTGTTTAATTAGGATCAAATGTGACAAGCGAATTTTGCATTTGCGAGGCGGAGCGTTCAGCGAAGCCGGGCGAAAGCAAAATTTGCGAGTCAAACAAAGTCACTTTTGATCCGAATGAAACATGCTATTTTTTCTGCAACCGGAACAATTAACTCAAATGAATATGTGAAGTAACCACAAATGCCGTGCCATATGTATATGCAATGCAACAAATCAAAATCAATGCAAAATCCGTGTGGTGAGAATATTCTACCTGCATTAACAGCAGGTTTATTTAATTTCCAAAGATAATCGAATTGTAGTTTCAATATAAATACAACCACAGAGTGACATATTTGTGTATGTACCAGGTGCTTTAATGGCAAATACCGCGCTAGTGCCTGGTATACGAACAAGACGTGGAAAATGTTAGGTTAGTTGTTAGCATATCAACAATAATGATAGCGATTATTTATTCCTCTCCATACTACATTGTGTTTTGACTTGATAATCAAATAGAGGTAAACAAAATATCGTTGTTTGAGACAACAAACTATTGCTTGTCGTGATTATTCAAAAACAAGTTATCCATCCCGAGAATAACGAATGAAATACAGATCAAGCAAGTATGTGAATTTATTGAAGGTTTTCTTGATCGAAACAAAAATACTCAACTAATATGTTCATAATTCCTAACTTAACTATAATAAAGTGTAGGTATTTATATTTCCAGCATGGGTATGAAATGCCATATCTGCCGAAATCGGAAACAAATCAGGTATGCGTCCCAACGGTTGGTTGTTACGGTTGGTTATTTCAACCGTAACAATGTTGTTCTTCTGCAACCGACACAAAAGTCGTCCATTTTGATACCAAAATTTGCTCTTAAATTGACGTTTCTATTACTGACAAAAAATAGGTATGTTGCTAGGCAACATATTAAGTTCCTAGGAGCTAAAGTTGAATTTTAGTTCCTAGGAACTAAAAAGGATCTACTGGACGCCATCAAGAATAAACAACATTGTGACGGTTGGTTATTTGGGTTGAGACGCATACCTGATTTGTTTCCGATTTCGGCAGATTTGGCATTTCATACCCATGCTGGAGATATAAATAAGCCTTATTAAAGTTTAGTATTGGAATTATGAACATCTCAGTCGAGTATTTTTGTTTTGATCAGGTAAGCCTTCAAGATTCAAATACTTGCTTGATCTGTATTTCATTCGTTATTCTCGAGATGGATAACATGTTTGAATAGCATGTTTCATTCGCATCAAAAATGACTTTATTCCACTCGCAAATTTTGCTTTCGCTCGGCTTCGCTGAACGCTCCGCCTCGCAAATGCAAAATTCACTTGTCAAACGTAGTGTCACTTTTGATCCTAATAAAACAATCTACTATTATCCTTGATGACGTCTAGTACATTCTGTTCAGTTCCTAGGAGCTAAAGTTGAACTTTAGGTTCTAGGAACTGAATATGTTGACTAGCAACATACCTATTTTTGTGTCAGTAATAGAAACGTCAATTCAAGAGCTAATTTTGCTAATACTTTATTTAACATTGGGATTGAAACATGTTTCAAAGCTTCAAAGCTTCATCATGAGCAAAAATTATTTGTTACAGGAAGTACTACGATGAGGAACACAAAAAGCTACGTCGATTGCTTCAAACTTTTTAATGTTATTTCCTTCAAAAATACTTGAATTTCTCTCCTTGTCTCTCTCAAGAAGACTTATTTGATACATAACGTTTCATGTGCAATAATTCCAATGTTTTGATAATTCTTCAATACTCCCACCTCTATTCTTAGTATCGCTCTCATCTCTATGTCATGAAGAGTTCTGTGATAACCCTAACGTCAAGATGTTTTCTGTCATCCTTCACTTCATGTCAAGAATATTCTATTTTAAGCAACAATTCTTCTCTAAAACAGAAAACAGGTGAGGATTGTTTGACTTTCATTATCTGAATGTTTGTCTGACGTAGCTTTTTGTCTTTCTTATTGTAGCGGGTAATTAATGTGACAAATAATTTCTGCTGATGATGAAGCTCTGAAGCTTCGGAACATGTCCCAATTCTAATGTTGAATAAAGTAAAATTTTGGTGAACTTAACTGTATGAGATTCTCTTCCTGCCCTCAAAAAAAATTGTTCTAAAATTGTTCTATCCGTCATTCGGTAGCTCCTTACGAGCAACCCTCAGAAGTCTTCGAGAGTCTTGTGCGAGCAAGGAATGGCGGGGGCCTTACCTTTAAACGTGTGATCACAAACACTCTCTTGGGCCATCAGAAAAATGTCTGCAGTCGCTGGGAATTGAACCCACGACCGGCAAGCGAATGAAGATTAGAATACTGACACTCTGTCCGCACGGCTACCTGGCCCTATTTTCTATTACATTCGAAGGTGTAAGATTTTTTGGAATACTTCCTTGAGCAAATCATTCCAAAGTTATGCCTTCCTATAGACATACGTTTCGGTAAAGAATTGTTCGACATATTATTTAGCAGACAATCCTGAAAAACATTCCTCGTGGAAATGTCTATAGAAAAGTGGAAACTCGCAAATTCTCCTACTGTAAGTACTTGATTTTTTCCACTGATTCTCCAACCAAAAACTACTCAGGATAGATCATATTGAAAAAAAAATGGTGAGAGTTTTTCAATTACCCTGGTATAATGATGCACGATTCACTCACGAATCTTTCTTGTTCATCTTTCATTGAGAAGAGTGAACATGCATAATAATTCAAACGTTTCCTCATGATAACATCATCTTATTATTGTATCGTATTGAAAACAATTTTTTTTTATTCTATTTACATTTTATTTCATATTAGTAGATTAGATAAATCGCTTATAATCATTTGTTGGATGACTTCAGTCTGGTGTAATGTCTGTATGAATTCGGTTCGAATCAAATATGTATATTCAATGTCATTGAGCTCATGTAATGATTTGGTCCCGTCACAACATAACCTTGAACTGAAGTATATCAAATCAACTATCAGAACATAATGAAGACTGACGATCCCCCAGAACCAAAGAAAAAAGGGATCAACGTGGACACCCTCTGGTGTATGTACCTTGTATCCGTTGCTTCTGCTTGCAACGCTGAACTATTCACCTACCCACTGGACCTAATAAAAACCAGACTACAAGTCCAAGGAGAAAAAGCAGATAAGCTCAAGCAGGCCCCACATAGAGGTATGCTGAAAACAGGACTCGGTATAGTTAGAGAAGAAGGCCCACTGAAGTTATGGCAAGGAATCCATGCGATTTTCTTAAGGCACTTGGTGTATTCAGGCACCAGAATGGTCGTGTATATGCACATGAGGAACTGGATAGTGGCTCGATACCCCAACCAAGAAAAACTCACCGTTCTGCAGTGTTCCATCTGTGGGGTAGCTGGCGGTGCTATAGGACAGTTCATAGCAAGCCCAGCTGATCTCATGAAGGTCCAGCTGCAAATGGAAGGTAAAAGAAGACTGCTGGGACTTCCACCACGCGTGCTAGGCATAACCGATGCTTTCCAGAAAGTCTGGAATGCCAATGGAGTGGCAGGGCTGTGGAAAGGCTGGGTGCCCAATGTACAGAGAGCTGCACTGGTGAACCTGGGTGATCTGACCACGTACGACCTTTCCAAAAGGTTCATCCAGAGGAAGACAGGTTTGGCGGATAAATTACCTTTGCACGTGTTGGCGAGTGGGTGTGCTGGTTTCGCGGCTGCTGTGCTGTCTACGCCTGCCGATGTTATCAAAACCAGGGTCATGAATCAGCCTACTGACGAGAAGGGGAGGGGAACGTTGTATACGTCATCCACTGACTGTCTGCGGAAAACTGTCAGAGCTGAAGGAGTGGCAGCTCTCTACAAAGGCTTCATACCGACCTGGGTCAGACTGGCGCCTTGGGCTTTGACCTTTTGGGTGACTTATGAACAAATTATGACGTTTATTGGAGCTAAGAATTTCTGATTAGTCACTGAACAATGATAATTAGATTGCTGTAGGTCATGTTCTGATAACGTTTATTTATCCTAGATATTTCTTAAGTTCTATAATAAAGTTACAAATTCTGAGGTAGGCCAATCGGAACGATGTATACGTCATTCACTGACTGTCTGCGGAAAACTTTCAGGCCTGAAGATGTGGCAGCTCTCTACAAAGGCTTCATACCGACCTGGGTCAGACTGGCGGTCTGGGCTCTGACCTTTTGGGGGACTTATGAATAAATCATCACGTTTATTGAAGCTGAGAATTTCTGATTAGTCACTAAACAATGATGATTAGAATGCTGTGGATTATGTACTGATAACGTTTATTTTCATTTATCCTAGATATTTCTCCAGTTCTACAATAAAGTTGCAAATTCGAGTAGGCCAATCAAAACGTTGTTCACGTCATTCACTGACTGTCAGAGAAGCAACATCTAGGCTGAGGTTGTGGCAGCTCTTTACAAAGGTTTCATACCGACCTGGGTCAGACTGGCGTTTTGGGCTCTGACCTTTTCAAACAAATCATGACGTTCATTGAAGCTAAGAATTTCTGAATAGTCACTGAGCAATGATAATTAGATTGCTGTAGGTCATGTCCTGATAACGTTCATTTATCGTAGATATTTCATAAGATCTATAATCGAGCTGAAAATTCTAGAGTAGCGCTATAAGAACGTTATATACGTCATTCACTGACTGTCTGAGGAGAACTGTCATGGCTAAAGGTAAGGCAGTTCTCTACAAAGGCTTCATTTCGACCTGGGTCAGACTGGCACCTCGAGCTCTGATTTTTTGAGTGACTTATGAATAAATCATGACGTTTATTGGAGCTAAGAATTTCTGATTAGTACTGAACAATGATAATCAGTTTGCTGTAGGTCAAGTACCGATAACGTTTATTTATTTCGCATATATTTTGGAAGGAAGTTAACAATTTTAGAGAAGCCTCATCAGAATTATGATTCTTCTGAATGTGATTCAACGTAGAGACAGAAGAGGAGTTAGATGTTGTTGTTTCATTTTTGTGTTCGATCGAGAATTGGAGAGTGGGATGTAGTTGGGTAATTAGCAATTTGCAGACATATTTGCAAAACAAGTATGTTTATCACACTTTGGAACATACATTCGAATCCGAATGGGAAACTAGATATTCAAAGGATGATGCAATATGCCGAATAATTACAGAGTGGATATTCATGCCGTTTTCCACTGGACTGAAATTATGCATTGAGTATTCACAGATGATGAAAAGAAATAAAGGAAAATCAAAGCGGAAAAAGTTTGGGCTAGTGTTGCGAGTGGAAAATAGCTAGTGAGTCAAAATTTTATTTCATACTATACGGGGTGTTCTGTTTGAGATGGGAATATTTTTGTGAAATTTTCATCAAACATTGTTGGTTACTCGTGATCATAAGAAAAGTCATTTTCTCCAGAGGAATTACTATTCTTGCTAAATAACAAAATGAAAAATGAAAAGTCAGCTGGGCCTGACGAAATTCCGAATTTGTTAATCAAGTTATCGCACTACCTCATATCATTCTTCCGATCACTTATTCGTAAAATTTGTCGCTTCCCGCAATTTTTGAAAATTTGAAAAATTATTTCAATTCACAAAAAAATTATACTTGACAGATCAGTAATTATCCACTAACTATTGTTCGTTTTTTTCAATCAATATTGGAAAAATGTGTTATAGATCATTATTCTTGATGACCTCGAGTACATCCTTTTCAGCTCCTAGGAGCTAAAGTTCAACTTCAACTCCTAGGAACTAAAAGTGTTGCCTTAAATAGACGACTTTTTTGTCGGTTACAGAAAAAAGTAGTTTTATTCAAATCGCCAAACTATGCAGGTCCTCGCTGCGTTTATAATTTGTTGCCAATCAACATGAAAGCTCTACCTCTTAAACAGTTCAAGACTATTTTTCATTTCATTTAGTCATTTATTCAGTGATTCAGCAATAATATACAGCAATGAACTACAGTAATATGCATTTCATTTTTAACATAACATAATAAATATATCAATAACTGAGACTGAAAAGAGCTATAGTTAGTTTCAATGTACATAAATGTACATTGATCCCAATCTTCCCTATAACCCTCGAAAAGGTGCACAGTTAGAACGTAAGATGATTACCTAATAAGTATATTCTAATAATACTAATATGTTCTGTTGGCACCAAGAACTGTAAACCATAAACTAATACAAACATGGATATGACATTGAAAAATATTTCAATTTCGAAGCAAACAAGCAGTAGGTACCTAAAATAATCAGTTCTGATTACAACCAAATATACTCAAACATTAAAATATAAGTGAAACTAAAATATAATTCTGAGAGAGAAATCGAAAGGTACCAAGTTTAGACATTTAAATTCGGTATGATATTGTTATTGAGTAACAGTAAAATTTTCAAATGTTCCTTGAAATTCTTGAAATTCAATTCCATAAGATCAGAGGGCGAGCCATTAATCAATTTGCAAATCGTGTAAGATAAGATCGTTGGAACATGGAGCTGGAGTGATGTGGAATTGTGAGGATATTCTTCCTTCTTACATTGATATTCTGTATATCTGTCCTGAAAGATATCCTGCGTGCTAGGTATATTGGTTCTCGGTTTTTAATAATTTTGTGAAATAAACATGTCAAGTGTAGAAATCTTCTATTTGAAATATTTAGCCATTTCAACTCCAAAAGTTTACCAGACACCGAATGTCTTTTTCTAATGTTATATATGAAACGGACGCATCTGTTCTGAACAGATTGTAATCTTGTGCGATATTCGTCAGTCAGGCAAGGCCCATACACGGTTTGTAAAACGCATTTTTATTCATGTGATTCACTTGCTTTGAAAATCTCATGGCCGAGTCAAAATATACACCCAAATTTTTAGCTGTACTCACTGGAACCAATGAAATGCCATTGATTTTAATATCCACAAGATTTACACACCTCAATTTAGCTGGTTTGCTTCCGAATAACATTATCTGTGATTTGGAGGGGTTGAGTGATAAACAGTATTTTTCTGATAGTGTAAAAAGATTATCCAAATCCGCATTCAGCATCCTATTAGCCATATCAACTTCTGATTCTTTGTAAGAAATATATACTTGGGTATCGTCAGCATTAAAATGGCACTTACTATGGCGTATACACTTTGAGAAGAACGAGATATATATAGAAAATGAGAGTGGACCTAGTATTGAGCCTTGCGGGACACCATTGGGGATTTGCAGTACTGGTGATCGTGTTGAAAAATGTTTTCATAGTGTATCTGACTTTCAAATTGAAGTATGTCTCTTTATATGTGTATGTGTGTGAAAAATGTGTTTCAAAAATTTGAAAAAAAAAGGAAAAGGAAGGGGAGAGGAAGGGAGCTTTGCCTAGGGGGCCTGATAGGGTTGATCCGGCCCTGGAAGGGACCCCAATGTTCGCTGCTCCCTAACCTTTATTGTTGACGAGCTGTGCGGAAAAAGTATCATGACCCATCAACGCCTTTGTGACGCGGAATCGATAACATTCAACAGTGCATTTTCCTCTGCCGTATATCCCGATTACGCGCCCTTGTACTGTGCATGTATGTTTAATACATCTAAATATAGGACGCAGCTTCGCACTGGATCGGAGAAAACAGGTGGAGAGAGAGAAAGCCGATCAATATTACCTGGTTATCTTTTTAGTCCAGTAGGCCGGTAATTTCAGATAGAAGAAGGTCGGGAGTTCATGAAATTTTGGAATGTTGTTCAGGGATGGTTAATCAACATTTACTCAAGTTTTGGACCTTGAGGACCCTGATGTGCAAAAAGAGGAGGGGGATGCAAACTGCAAAATTTTCGACCATCCTCCGGTTTTTTCTCAATACCTTTTTTCCTCTAGTCTAACGTCGAAAATATACCAATACTTTTCTGTAGAGCGTTAAATGTCCTACAATTCTCGATCCTCGAACAATTCTGTAGGTCAATTCGTCATCGAGATATGGCGATTAGAAAAAAAAAGGTAATTTTTTCAAATTATCTGAAAAATTACAAATATTGCAGAATTCTACTTTATTTTTCCTGTTATATCCGAAATATAATAAAATGTTGTTGTCATTATGGTTCTTAGTTGAAATCACTCCTCCACTATGAATACATCATCATTTCATAGCAGGTAAACGAAGACGTAGTCTTTCCGTGATAAAAATAATATAATTAACAATATTGAGTTATTCAAGGTCAATGGTTATTCACAAGGAATACATTATATTCAGGAATAGAGATTGTAGATTGTGTAAATGGGTCGTATATGCTGGGAGACCTCTCGATCACTGCGACCTAGAAGATCTATTGAGATTACCCTCATCTAGTTTTGGTCCTCTAACCCTAGACTTCCAATGAAGCCTAGAATTTTCCTGACGGTTGAATTTTCCACCTCAGCAGGTGTAAGATTGACCTGTTCTAGGTGATTCAGCTTTTGGCGGACTAATACTTTACATGAGCAAAGTATGTGTTCCGCGGTTTTGGTCGCATTGTTGCAATAGCGGCAAATGTCAGTCTCCGCCTAGCCCATCTTTTTGAGGTCCTCAGAGGGCACTGTCCTGTGAGAAAGCCTGTGATAAGCTTCAGCTCTAGTTTGCTGAGGCTGAGTAGCTCTTTGACTTTGTTCTGCGAATGGTTGATGAACCTTTTCGCTTGTCGTTAACCTGGAGTTTCTCTCCAGTAGGAGGACTTTTCAATTTCTTCCCAATTTCCTGAGTTCTCTCTTTAGGTGACATTTTCTTATCTCACAAAAAGGTGCAGGACCAAAGAGTAATGCTGCACCTTTCTTTGAAAGGCGATCAGCTGCCTCATTTCCTTTGATCCCTTGATGCCCTGCTGAAACCCACATGAGTGTGACTTTGTTGTCCTTTCCCAGTTGCATGTAATATTTGATGTGAAAACAAATGATTTTAGGGCTTTTAGTGCGGCTTGGCTGTCTGAACACCGTCTCCGAGAAAGAAGAAGAAGTCCTTTTACCTTCTATTCGACTTAGCGGTTACGTAAATTACTGAACAACTTCTATTTCGCAATTTTTGAAAATCAGATCACAGAATTTGACTTGACAGATATTTGATTACTTCAAAAGAGTGATGAAGATGCCTGCAACCCAAGTGTCATTCCTGTTAAAAACTTCAAATTTCACGTCGATAATTTCTTGATTCTAATAAAATGTGATACCTTCTCAATATTGATTCGTCCTTTTATTTGTCACAGAAAGAATAGTGTATTATACACGGGGAAAATACATATAATAGTGAAATCCATTGTCAGGAACGGGTGGAGTGTATCCCCACTGAATGTATATTTAACTCTGTTTAACACATGCTTGTAAGAAGGAAACATATACATTCAGTGAAGAAACATTCCACCAGTTCCTGCTAATGAAATTTGCTATAAGATTTTAGCTTACGGTTTTTTGCCTGGAGGTAAAATTGTATGAAAATCATGAAATCTTCCTACATATTAAAAGTCTTTTTCCTGAAGAATAATTTTTGTTACAAATTATGCAATATTTAACAATATTGATTGGGGATACCGTTGACTGTTCTGACCTACGATTCTGGCAGTAGTCAAAATTTCAGTTGAAAAAGGATAAACAGTTTCCAACTGCACAAATCATGACGTGAATTCGTCAATCGATTATCGTTTTCACAATTTCACGAATTCGTATGGATTAACCTTAATCGTGAATACTCATTCGTTATATATTTCTGATTTGACTAATGATTGACATAATTACCTGTCACCAACTCGATATTACTCTCATCATATTATTATAATATAGTGACATTATATACTGAATATTATACAGTGGAATAGAATATTGATGATTCGAATCTGATGGATATTTCTGCTGATGGTAGCTCAGTTTCTCTAGTAGGTGAGTACATATCTATTTCAAAAGGTTCACAGACAACGTATCGTCTAATACCATTGCCATCAATCCAGGCGTTTCACAAGGATCAATTTTGGCACCAACATTGCTCCAGTAGCATCTGGGGAGTATACTTGCCATAAATGTTAGAAAGGTTGGGGAAGTGCAGTGTTGCTAGATATCGCTTCTTCATTCGAATCCGAATACTATAGCGCCTATAGAGACAGGAGGTAAGAAAAATCAGCGCGGCAAGTGCAAGTACAGCGACTAAATTATTTCTTCACACCGCAGTTTTTACGACTCGTAGCGTAGTTCACTGTGCTTTTGAATCCTATTTCGGTGACCCGGGTTCAACGCCTGCGACCATCGGTTTTTTTTAAATTCTGTTTCCTCAAGTGATTTTCCGTAAAATATAATGTTAAGGAAGACGGTTCATTTAGCCGATTGAGGTTAGATGATTTAGAAAAAGTACTGTCCTTATTCATGAAAGAGGAACATTTTCCTTCCTCCCTGAAAAAAGTACAGTCTTTCTAGGAAGAAGGTTCATTTAGGCCGAGTAAGGTTGGACGGTTTAAAAAAAGTATTGTACTTTTTTATGCAGGAGGGATATTTTTTTTTCCTCCCCAAAAAAAGTACTGTGGAGGCATTTACTGTTGAGAAAAAGTTTTGACAGACTTATTTTCTAGAGTGGAGATCTCTTGTGGGCGAGTTAGATTGTGTTGTTTTGAAGAATTGTCTCTTTTCACTTCCATGTGAATACATGAAAATGCTATTCCTCCTTTTTGGGTTATCCTATCAGTTCAGGATCATTGAAGTACTTTCTTCCTCAACTTAAAGAAAATCAGCACAATCTGGCAACATTGATATGACTGACACGGAATTACGCCAAGTCCTTACCACGCATACTCCGCAGAATTAAGAAGCAAGTCATTGTCTCTCCATACTGCGTTCTTTTCTCGAATTACGATATCTTCCTAGGAAAGTGAATACTTACGACGAAGGCAGGCAAACGCTGTCAATGAACATCCACCAAAATTCAAGCCTGTTTGACGATGTATGGTACCACCATTCCCATCAAAACCACTTTATCCATACTCGGTACTACCATCAGTATTACTCTCTCATGGGAAAGTCGAGCCCAATCCATCGCAAAGGCTGCTTCACAGAAACTCGTATACTCTACACCTCGATAGCTTCTCATGATCTACAAAGCACAGATACGGCCATTTCAAGAATAATGTTCTCATATGTATGAGGTTCAGCACCCAAACATACGCTGATGCTATTAGATTCAATCCAGAGAAGAGCTACGCCTGGTGGGTGATGCCGCACTCAGTACATCTTTGACCTCATTAGAACACCGTAAAAACGTCGGCGAACTTTCACTTTTCTATAGATACTTCCACGTGAAATGTTCCTCAGATATCTCTGCCATGATTCAATCACTATAGAAATACCAGTCAGACGAACTCGACAGGCCCACAGTCAGCACATCCATTCGTCGTTAACCTCGAAATATGCCAAACAACACTCTACCAAAACTCGTTCGTCTATAAAACGGCGAAGGATTTTTTTTGCCAATGAAAGTATTCCCAATAACTTATAACATCCAAAAACTGAACGAAAAATCCAACACCTAGGTACCTTTCCATCCTATCCTCCCTAGGTACGCACGATGTTTCACGAAAATTATAGGAATTTCCTTTTCGGCACTCTAAGAGATAAAGAAAATTAGACAAATTCATACCTCTCGAAACTATTTGAAACTTCAATATTGAAAAGTCGAATCTCCCGAAAGAATATTTTTCATCTCACCGGAAAAAATGTACCAGAAGGGACACTCCTAGAAGTTTTGCGTATTTTCCTTCAAAACTTTAAATCGCCGATTTCCGAACTCTTCGACAAAGAATGCAGCCCTGACAACAAGAAGTAGAAATGTTACAAAGAAGAGAACGTTGATGATACGATTAGTTTTGATCCTTTGATCCAATTCAAACAAAGATTAAAATATCGAAGTAAGTTTCAATTTTTGAAATGAATATCTTGGGCAACATATTCTAATTCCTATCTTCCTGGCATATTTTTTTAGTCGAGGTAAACTTGGCATTTATAATAAGAATTGTGTTGCCTGTCGAATTGAATAAGAAAACTACCCCTGCCCTCTCAGTTTTTTGAGTTGATGGCAACAATTCTAATAAACATGTCAAGTTTACTTCGACAAAAAAAAGCTCTCGTGTAATTTATAAGTGATAAAATTCGATAGATATTCTCGATGTCGAATCATTTACAGGGCTTATATTGTAACGTAGATGACTCTTTCTTATGGGAGAAATTATATCGATGTTTTGTTTCAGAAAGTGAAAAGGGCACAGCGGAAGCCAGATCAAATTGCATTAGGAAACTTGGACTCAATTTGAACGGTAAAATCAAAAATTTGTAGACTGAAGTAAAAATTTTGAAATAGGTGGGTACCAATACTAGGTATACCCTTTGAACAAGTTTATCAGTTGAAAGCAATGGACAAGGAGTCCCAGAATAACGTATCATAAATTCTATACGAAAATGCAATTTTTCTCCGATTGGCAGCAAATATTAATTTTGCTGACACATATCAATCAGCAAAGTATTACTTTTTCTGCCTAGGCAGCAAAGTGGTTACTTTGCTGATTGATATGTATCAGCAAAATTAATAATCCATAAATCGTTTATAATTTCCTTCATATTTCATCCGAGACTTCTCTGGCAACAAATTCAACTCAATATTTTTTGCAACCTCCCTCATTTCTGGAGGTGTAAGTACAGGGTGGGCAAAATTGGGCGTTTTCACCGTCTATCTCAATAACTAGAGGAGTTATCGAAAAACCGATATACATGTTCCGGGTTCGATTTTGGAGAAACCTCGAATGACACAATCAAAATGTCGATATCTTCATTCGTTTTAGAGATACAGGGGGAAATTGAAAATTTGCCGATTTCGATTTTATTTTCCGACTACTTTACGGTGAGAGGTATCAAAAAATTTCGAACGTATATTTATACAGTATGATGCGTGGAATCCATTGGCGTCATCAGAAATTTTATACAGGGTGACGTTGAGAAGATACGGCAGCCAATTATGTTTTTTCTAATGAAACACCCCGTATATTTTGGCACAGTTGAATAGTCCCAGGCGTTCTCATTACAAATATATATATATAACCCTACCTTTTCCTTCAACAATTTCAGATATATTCGCAAAATATATTCAGTGTGTCACATTTCTTATGGATACACCCCCGTATCTTCTGTAAAAATAATTGAGGTAGGATTCAAAAATTCGCAACTGTCTGGCAGAATGCCTGAATATGATGCTTTACCCTTTATTTCTAGTATGCCTTAATATTTTTGCGTTCAAAGAGATAATAAATAAGATATATATTCGAAATTGAAACGGGAACTTTCCAGCTCTGCCAAAATATACGGGGTGTTCCATGAAAAAAATTGTTCTGTATCTGGAATTTGGACATCTTCTATAAGGCTATATTTTTCAACGCAACCTACTGATTTTCTAATTGAGTAAATTATTGGTCTTATTTCTGTATCTCAAATGTCTTGAAAACAATGATATCAAATCGAATAATTTCCCATTTTATCTCACCAAATATCCATTTGTCTGGAAATAACATTCCTTATGATATTTATTTTCCACATTTGGTGAATATATACAGAGTGTCATTTTCAACCTCGATTCTGCCTGTTGATAGCATTATCCAGAAATATCGATGATTCCATAGCTGCTGGCGAGCAGTGTTATCATTGGAGATGATCCCACTTGGTCCATGACTCCATGAGTGTATCATTAATTTGTATCTTTCTGACAGTTGCGAATTTTTGAATCCTACCTCAATTATTTTTACAGAAGATACAGGGGTGTAACCATAAGAAATGTGACACACTGAATATATTTTTGCGAATATATCTGAAATTGTGGAAGGAAAAGGTAGGGTTATATATATATTTGTGATGAAAACACCAGGGACTATTCAACTGTACCAAAATATACGGGGTGTTCCATTAGAAAAAACATAATTGGCTGCCGTATCTTTTCAACTTCACCCTGTATAAAATTTCTGATGATGCCAATGGATTCCACGCATCATACTGTATAAATATACGTTTGAAATTTTTTGATACCTCTCACCGTAAAGTAGTCAGAAAATAAAATCGAAATCGGCAAATTTTCAATTTCCCCCTGTATCTCTAAAGCGAATAAAGATATCGAAATTTTGATTGTGCCATTCGAGGTTTCTCAAAAATCGAACCCGGAACATGTATATCGGTTCTTCGATAACTCCTCTAGTTATTGAGATAGACGGTGAAAACGCCCAATTTTGCCCACCCTGTACTTCCAGGTCGCTATCACTGTCCATTATATAATAAATTGAATAATCCGATATTATTTCGCACAACTGTCAGAAATTTCATGAATTGTTAAACTATAATTATTATGGACATTTCCATAGCAACCAACCATTCCAACAACTGCGATTTCTATCAAATTTTATTTTAATTGAACATTACAGGAAAAATAAAGAGATATATATTATTATGAACAATCGGAGGAAAAATTATATGTTCAACTCGGCAGCAAAGTAGATTGACTGCCGAGGCTGAATTCATAGCCGAGCGTAGCGAGGCTAGGAATCCAGCTACTTTGCTGCCTAGTTAAACAAATAACTATATACTTCCAACAGTTCCAACTTCAACATCCTGTATATCAAAAACGAAACAAGACCTGAATATCTTCGTATTCATTCATCTACATCCTGTATAGAATAATTGTCGGCTTACGTGATATAACCCTATGTGAACCCTATTCGAAATATGTCAAGTTGTCATTTGGTGAAACTGTTACAGACGTCAATTTTTATTTTTTTCAGGAATACCAGTGGTCTTTCATCAATATAACACTCGACATTCAAGTGAGTACAGATTCGATTCAGTTTCTATACAATGGAATGTTTCACATACAGGCATTTCATTTGATATTTTTTAACAGTTTTTTTATTATTTGATGATCCCTTATTTGTATATGAGTATCACCAGATGAATGTTCACTTCAGAATTGTTCTATTTTGTGAAGATACTGATGAGGTGACACACAAGAAAGATTTTATGATTATTCCATCAAAGCACTCGCAAAGTACGATTATATTTTGCTGAAAAATGTTTATCATTCGGCTGCAATTTAAAATAAAATCTCAAACGAACCATCCTCATAATAGGTCTATATTATAATGGGCTATATCACAAAAAATGTTTATTTCATAATTCGATAGAACTCATCCAAACTAGCTCACCACCGCAAACCGTTTCTTGCTGTGAGCTCCCTACGTTTTATAAAATAATATTGAGATCCCCGATTTTTCGGACCTCTAAAATACGAGGCGATGATGTGACGTCAAAACCCTAATACTGAAACAAGATTATTCCAGACAGAGATGAATGATACATGATTTCTGACAGAGTGAATTAGCGCGAGATCACAATTAAAGAATTAATATATCAGTTGCCTCAGTCTCCGTCGGGCGTTTGGTATTTTCTTTTAACTATGGCGAGATGAGGTTTCTACGTCATAAAAGGGTCCGTTTTCAGAAGGTACTATTATTTATGTCCAAAAATAAAACGTTCCAGTTAATTTTTCGATCGAATTATGTCGACAATCATTATTTATGTATAAAAGGATCATTATAAACATGGTTTGAGTTAAAAGTTCTACTAAGGTGTACACGCCCATTATTATAGTATTCATAACTCGCTGGACATTTCAATTTGTGCTAATAACAAATTGACCTCGCATTTGTCGTTGCAGCAAAACTGAAAAAATTATACGTGGACCTGAGCAACAGTCGTCTAGAAGCAGAAACAGCAAGAAGTACAGGGCGAGTCAGTGAAAACGGACGTTTCGATCTAGTTCGCAGGGACAGCACTACAAGTCAAGATAGCAGAGAATTCGACCTTTCAAATTACGATTTTCAGCTAGCGAAAACAAATTGCAATAATATTATGGACGACAGAGAAAGGCAATGCATAGATGGCGTTAATAGAGTCCAGAAAGCATGGCTGAAATATTTTTATGCCTTATGTAAGAATCTCTCGAGATACAGTCATGGGCGTTATTTAAAGGGGACAGGAGGAGGGCAATAGTTCTTCATGATTTTGTACAAAATAATGTTTTTCTAGTCACATAACTAAAATGGCATTTAGCGTACGGATATGTACCACGCTAAATGATTGTTTAATCACGGATTGACGATCTGTGATTTATTCAAAATATTAAACACGTTACCATGGCAACACGATTTCTCAAACACATTACCATGGCAACACAGTTCATTAAACACAGCTTCAGTAATTTGAGATATGTCTGGCCTGTCAATTGTTTTAACTGTCAACTGTTATTTTCAAATTCTGTATCAGAATTATTCAAAAAATATTCGTTTGTATCAGAATTCTTCATTGAAAATAAATGGGAAATATAGACGAAAGTGAAATTTAAGAGAATTTTCTGGTACTTGCATATCTCCTAGAAGTGTACAAATGAAGCATCCATCTTTGAGAACAATTTATTCATTCTGCGCTAAGCATGACAATAAACGTGAAACAAAGGTTAGTAAGCAATGGACTGGACACATCTACAACCAATATCACTTATACGTCTCTCGCTGGTTGCATGCAGTTGCATGTATTATGTTCTCAATTCCCATTCCTTTCGAATTATTTTGTAGGTTAGCAGGAATAGCAGGTATGTTAATGTAATTTTTCGGAGTTCGCAGAAAAAGCATAATATGTAACGCGTTTATAAACTAAGACACTCGTTCATTAAACACTCGTTACTAAAAAGACGTTTATGACACTATTGTTACATAATATACTATTCCCTACTGACAACCTTCCTGTAACCACATATACATATACCTTATTATTGCACCAGTAGGTACAGAGAGATACAGTACTTGAAAAAGAAAAATTATTATTTTAAAATTGTTGAAACATCATTCAGTGTGATAGTAGATAGCATAGGTACATAAAATACACCTGAATATAGGAATGCAAATGATACATTTTTCTAAAATATAAAAATTGACGCCTTGATAGCAATTTGACATTGGCAACGAAATAACGCATAAGAAATTATTCACAATATAGACTGATGAGAAACTTATTCGCTTTTATGAATGATTGTTGTTGATTCGGATGGGATACAAAAAATTGAGTGAATTAGGAAAACTCTAGAATATTTCGGTAAATGTGTTGACTGGGCTTGTCTAGTTCGTCTGATTGGTATTGCTAGTGAAGGGATGATAGCAGAGATTTCCGAAGAACATTTCCCGTGGAAGTATCGATAAAAAAGTGAAAGGTCGCCGACCTTTCTACGGTGTTCCAATGATGTCAAAGAGTGAGTGGGTGTGGCGTTGTTGTTTGGATCCGCCCCTGTCTCCAACCACATTGAAATATTTTAATTCTATCGAACTATGAGAGAAAATTCAAAGAATTTTGAGAACATCTACCTACTGGATTAACCTGAAGACAGTATTTATTAGTCTATTATGTTTCAAACAGCCTACCATCGCTGGCGCAAAAACCCTAACCTCGCGACTAGAGCAGAATACGTTGATGCCAGGAATAACTGCAGCCAAACAATAGATGCTTCGAAAGAAACATACAATGCCAAGATAAGATCGAAACTCATAGATTGCCCCAATGGCTCCCGTTCGTTCTGGTCCCTTGCTAAAGCGGTCGGAAGAAATTTCACTAGTAGTTCATTTCCACCACTGTCCAAATCCGACGGCACATTAGCAACAACATCGCAGGAGAAAGCGAATATTTTTGCAGAGATGTTCGCAGCAAACTCTACTTTAGATTCCCAAGGAAAACTGCCGCCAGACATTCCACCCGTTGAGAGTCGAATGCCCGAAATCGTCTTCCGTCAACGCACTATCAGACGAATTTTGCTTGGTCTCAAAACGAATAAGGCTAACGGTCCTGATGGAATTCCACCCATTATCCTCAAAAAATGTGCACCAGAATTAACACCGATTCTCTGCAAGTTGTTTACCATCTCGTACAGGTCGGGTATTTTTCCATCATGCTGGAAGACAGCTAGAGTCCAACCAATCCCCAAAAAAGGAAACAAGAACCTGCCCAACAACTACAGGCCCATTGCCCTGTTATCAGTAATCTCCAAAGTGATGGCGAAAGCCATCAATATTGAGCTTATCAAATATCTGGAGAGCTCAGGAATCATCAATGATAGACAATACGGCTTTCGCCACCGAAGATCCACTGGAGATCTACTTGCCTACGTCACCCATTTATGGCAATCTTCAATAGAAAAACACGGGGAATCTCTAGCTGTCGCGTTGGACATATCGAAAGCATTCGACCGTGTTTGGCACGAAGGACTCCTCCACAAACTACCATCATACGGCTTACCACCTCAGCTTTGCCATCTCTTATCGAGTTTTCTTTCAGGCAGATCGCTTCACGTGGTGGTGGACGGTGTATCGTCTGATACCATTGGCATCAATTCCGGCGTTCCACAAGGATCAATTTTGGCACCAACATTATTCCTGCTTCATATCAATGATCTGTTGGGAGTAACAACTTGCCCCATCCACAGCTTTGCAGATGATAGTACCCTCCATACTGCGTTCTCTTCCAGAATTCCCATTTCTTCCCAGGAAACTAAGAACTCACGGCGCAGGCAGGTCGATGCTGTCAATGAAGATCTTGCTGAAATCACAGCCTGGGGAACGAACAACCTAGTTGAATTCAACGCCACCAAAACTCAAACCTGCATTTTCTCTAGAAAGGCGAAACTCAGTATGCCCGATATTGTAATGTCTGGCTCCACCATCCCCACCAAGCCCACCATATCTATGCTCGGAATTTCCATCAGCAACACTCTTTCATGGGATAATCATGTCAGATCCATCGCAAAAGCTGCTTCACAAAAACTCGGATTCTTGTTCCGTGCGAAAAGCTACTTTACACCTCAACAGCTTCCCATGATCTACAAAGCGCAGATACGGCCTGTTCTAGAATACTGTTCCCACATATGGGGTTCAGCACCAAAACATACGCTGATGCTCTTAGATTCCATCCAGAGAAGAGCCATTCGCCTGGTGGGTGACGCCACACTCACTCACTCTTTGACATCATTGGAACACCGTAGAAAGGTCGGTGACCTTTCACTTTTCTATCGATACTTCCACGGGAAATGTTCTTCGGAAATCTCTGCAATCATCCCTTCACTAGCAATACCAATCAGACGAACTAGACAAGCCCAGTCAGCACATCCTTTCGTTGTTAACCTCGAAAGATGTCGAACAGCACTTTATCAAGACTCCTTCATCCATAGAACGGCTAGGCTCTGGAATTCATTACCTGTGGAAGTATTCCCAACAACATATAATCTCCAAAAATTCAAAAAAAATTCCAATACCTACCTCCTGTCCCTATCCTCCCTAGGAACGCACGATGTTCTTTGAACATTATAGGGATTCCCTTTCGTGCGCTCCAATCGATAAAAAAAAATAAAAAAAAAACAAGTGTTATCATCATAATAAAGAGTATTTTAAGCACGAACGCACAGCAGAGCGGAGCGAGTGTTTAATAAACGAGTGTCTAGAAGGGTTTATGAACACGTTACATACTATACTTTTTCTACGAACTTATAATTCCTCTCTTCGACAAGATCCCATAATTCCGAAAACCAGATTGACCCACCCGGTGCTAACCTACAAATTAATCTGAAGGGAATGGGAATCAAGAACATAATACTATACAGGGTGGGCCACCAGTAACGCCTCGGTCTCTAGAAGGCTAACCACTCATCTTCTTGGAATTCTTCCTCTCTAGGAAGTTGCATGTCAACATAGGCTACCTTTTGAGAATGTTTCAAAACATACAGGGTGTCCCCAAAAAGCGCAAAACACTAAAGTTATACTTTTTTAATTGAACACCCTATATATTATTTCATTTTGAGATTCTTCCTGATGAGCTGATTTCAACGACCCATCATACTTGGGGTATAGCAGTAATAATAACTAAGATATAGGGTGTGAAAAATCGAGATTTTTCAAGTTCAAGAATTTTTTGTGTCGAAACTATTCATAATTGGTCAAAACAGTTTACATGTCCCTAAACCGTGATTCAGGATTAGGATCGACATGTGAACCATGACAGACATTGACTGTGCAGTCAGGTAACAAACCTAGGGTCTTCGACTTCAATGTCGGGGTCTGACTTTAATGTCGGGGTCCGACTTTGATGTCGGAATCCCGAGAATAAAGTCGGGATCGAGAAAAAAGTATAGGTGGCCCTTCAGCGCCTTCGTATAAATCACTCTGTATTTGCTCTCTTGAAAAATGGCGAATTTTCTTTATCATCGCGAAAATCTCAACCTCATCCGGTAAATAATGCCCAAATTACAGTTGGTGTTCTCTATTCAGTATTCAGTTCCCATCAGACCGGCGTCTTTTCAGGTTTCGTAGGAATTATTTACATTTACCTCGAGGTCATCCACAACGGAGAAGAAATAAGGAGAATTACGAAAGAAGTAAACGGGTTGAAGGTAATTTCCCTGGAAAATTCCTGTCCTAAGTGAAAAATCTACAGGTCTGTTCCATTCTGATTTTTTTTTATTATTTCCAGCAAGAGATACGCTATGAGCCTGACGCCGAGGGCAAGTTCTACAGAATAGAGACCATTTTGAATAACATGAAACGAGAGCAAGGTAGGCAGATATAGCGAATATTATATTAAAATGAGACCTCTCTGTGCTCCGACCGAAAGCCATCTACTCGAGATGATATAATGTTATACATGCTTCCGCCAAGGCATGACAAAACTTCATGAATTTAAAGTGAAGGAGTCTGCTTTTATTAACACCCTTTTATTAGTTTCACCTGTATGTATGTAACCGACTCCTTTGAACTCAATTTTGACCCACTTTAAACGAACCGATTGATTGGAAATTTGGCAGGTATAATACACATAGTTCGGGTGGCAATGCATCATGAAATATTTGTTGCACAAAAAAACGAAATGGCGGCTCCAAAATGGCTGACGAGTTTTGTAATTATGATCCGATTCTATTCGAAAATTTGATCTGGAGGTGTTTAGGGTTAGAGACTCGGTTAGAGATTATGATTCTTTCGTCAAAATTGGAGAATTCAAGATGGCGGGTAAAATATGGAGAAAGGGTTTTTGTAATCATGATCCGATTCTATTGAATATTAGTATTTGGGGGTTTTCGGGGTAGGAGATTGATTATTTCGTCAAAATTGGTCACTTACTAGAAATGAAATATAAATAGTAGTTAAGATATATAGCCAAACTGAAGAGAGGTAGAAAATAAAATAACGAATGTGTGTTGATAAATATACATAACATAAAATGTACTGATTGCGGATGTGCTATATCTTATTTAATAATACTTTGAGCATTTTGGCTATATTGCAGTTAACCTGAATGTATTTTACAGAGGCGAATCGAAAATCCTTCAAGAATTTGATAAATACGGAATTGGCCAAATTCAGTTCCGATAAAACAGGAAAAACAGATTTCGCTCTGGAAGCCTCAGGTGAGATAAATATAATTATTGACGAAAAATCCATAAACATAATTTTCCACCACTAGTTGTTGAACCCTACTATTATTTACTCCTTTTCAAAACGTCAAGTGTGCGTTCTCTACCAAAGTAGTTTTCGTCATTTTATGGACTAGTAATTCATGAACACATAGCCACCTCTGTTAAAATAATACCAGATTTCACTGTTCTGATGCGAGATTCGCAGGAACATGGTACTCGAATCTAGTAGGTATCTATCAGCTTGTCATAATATGCTGTTATGCATGGTCATGGCTACTAGATTTCAATAGGAATTGAAAAGTGTGCTTATCGCGAAAAAATTAGCTGCCTTTCAATTCTGATTGGTCTCTCAAAATTGATGTTTTCAACGATGTAACCATGGATAGTGGAGCAAAGTCTAAATGTAACCAATAAATAGCGATGCTTGGCATGAAATAATTATGGCTGTACTTGTCAGAATGAATCTCTCAATTATAATGAATGCTTTTTATGCTTCGTGAACGTGAAATAGTTAAGCAAAATACCACTCTGTTCTGAATATCTCCTCAAGATTATGTCTTGCATTGTTCACGAAATTTAGTTGCCTGTAGGACAGAAAGAATATTCATCAGAACATCCTGATTTTACATTTGTCTGATTTTCAGTTTTACGAAAATATAATGATTCAAATATATAGCTAGTGGTGAAAAAATGCAATATATGCACCTTGGTAGTGTAGAATATTATTACCACGGGACCTCACACTCTTCAGCTGAAGCCTCGGGATATAATTTTGGTTCCTGGGTAATAATAATATTCTTTACCTACGGCCACTATCGAAAAACACGAGTTACAGCCTCAGTGAGTAGCTCATCGCAAAGTTTTCGTTTATTCCGCCAGTATAGGTAATATCATGATCGCGTAATCGTAGTCAACAGCGGATGACATAACTGTCAAAAATAGTAAATCAGACTTAGTTTGTCCAAACTTTTTTGATGTACAGTCGTATTCAATAAAAAGGCGTAAAAGTATTCAAAATAGAGGATTTCGGTATCCTAGTTCTAGTTGTGTAAAACTGGCTCAGCCAATGCTTTGTGTTTTCGAGAATCTATGACAACTTTACTGTCAACATTTGGTGAACAATCATTCTTGATAGCCCGTTTTATGCAGAATAGAATGACGTTAATTTCTCTCTGTAATATTCTTGAACGCTTTTTTTATTGCGACTTTACTATATGGCAGTAGGTGGAGTACTTATAGTACGTAATGCCTGTTGTAAAGCAATTACGCACTCATGGAATTATGCACTCGCCGCTCCGTGACTACGTCCGTATAACTTTTCCATTCGTGCGTAATATGCTACTCACAACATATATTACGTAATATACTATTACTATCTCGATGAATGTATTATGTTGAAGGTGGTAAAATCGTCAGTTTGACTTCTGGAACGGAGAACTTCGACTACACCAAGTCACTTTTCGGTATCACGTTGTGCGAAGGAATGCAAGGTCCAAGAGCAATGCTTCAGGTAATAGTTATTATCATATCAATTTATTTATCAATGGTAATGAAATACATAAAAGAATTAGATGATAATTACATGTTGATATCAGTATGTATTTGATATCAACTCTTTCAAGTTAATCCGGTATACCGTAATTTAATGTAGATATTGTGCCTAATTTCCGAAAATGGAGGTTTATCGTAACTGTCCACAGGTAACTAATCCTTCAGGTTGGGAAAGTAAGATATATAAAAGTTAAGCAAGCCAAAACGTTAGTTTAGTTCATTGTACCAGTATATCACCTGACGAAGCTACTGTGTTAGCGAAACATGTCGTGTGTTTAAGAATTTTGTAGAAATCTTATCTTTTGTGAAGTTTTTACAACTATTTTTCCGACGAAAATGTATTCATTCATTTCGTTATGTTGTTTCGACTACTATCATCCATTTCATTGATCGTCCCAATTTCGGAAACACCCTGTATTTGGGAAAAATCAACGTTTGAAATAAATTATAATTCAAAATTCCCTAAAAAGAAAAAAATTTCACTTCACCCCGTGTCCCACTACCTACTGGATCTACTTTTTTTTTCGCAACTCCACTATATCCATATTATACAATGAATCCTACTTGGAAATATTTAATTCCACTCAACTTCTGAGGACCTTCATTGTGTTCGCGATGTCTGGTGAAGTTACTTCTATACATCAGTTTCTAGGTCATCGATCCCACAATGAAAAGACCGCCACAATGCACCGCTCTCATTTCGTCTTCATATTCCTTCACAAAATATCTAGCTGAATGAATATAAGAAAATAATCGCATTTTCTTTCAAGTCATCACAATAGGTCGCGTGCACGATGACCGACCCTGGAAGTGAAATATTGAAAAACAACCTCACTTTCCCTGTAAATCATTGAAACGCAACCTCACTTTTTTTATTTGTTTACAGAGGAATCAATAAAGGATTGAAATAAATTTTCACAATATTTTGGCATACGAATCGTGTTTTTTGCGATATCCATTATTTCAAGCATGCCTTCTCATTGTGCCGCTGTTGTACAATATACGAAAAATGCAGCGAGAGACGGAGGAATATGAATTTTCAGGTAAACAGTAAGCTCTCATACAGTTTTCATAATGAAATTTTGTCATTTCTTATTAAAATTCCTTCTGCCACTTCTGCAATAGGAGAATACTGCTAATAGATTGAAAATGTCTACAACACACACGATCATATTTCGTCAGCATGTCAGACCAGTCCTCCCAATTGAGTATTCCTATCAGCTCCTATTGCAGAAGGAATTTCGATGAGAAATCAGAAAAATTACCAAATAATTTCAAAATGAAAACTAGCAACTGGCAACGGAACGCGAATTGTAAATATCAAGTTAACTTCGATCAAAAAATAGAGCTTGAGTTGGTCCTATGAGGCGAGAGAATATCGAGAGGGGCTATCACAGCCAGCAAATCACTATATGCACTGACAGCCAGGCGGCGATCAAGGCGCTCACCTCGTATAGGGTGACCTCCGCCTTGGTGTCAGAGTGCATAGATAGCCTACAAAGGCTGTCAGCAACGAACAAAGTATGTCTTGTGGGTCCCTGGACACTCAGGGGTACCAGGTAACGAAATGGCCGATGGTCTGGCCAGAAAGGGGGCGAAGGGTTCAGTGATCAGGGGTCACTCGATCCTGGAGCAACTTCAAGATGAAGGAAATCCTGACGGAAAGGTTTCAGGACAGCTGGAGAAAGGCTCCTGGAATGAGGCAGTCCAAACTCGATATAGGAAACCCGCCACGAAGACAGACCAATGCCCTCTTGGCTTTGAACAGGAATGAGCTGAAACTAGTGGTGGGCCTTCTGACAGGGCACTGCCACCTGAACAAACATCTCAGCACGATCGGGATTGTGGAGGATTCTGAATGCAGATGGTGCCTAGAGGATGAAGAGACTTCTACTCACATCCTCACTGAATGCCCGGCAGTAGTGGCAGCAAGGGATATCCATTTTGGGAGCAGTATCCTGGACCCAGAGGATGTTAAAAAGATTTGGCCAAGAAAGTTGGTCTCTTTTGCTCGCGAGATCGGCCTTCTCCATGGCTGACTTGCGATCCCAGGAATGTGGGTGCACAATGGGCCCGAAAAGGGAGGCCTAAGTGCGTCAGGTCCCGGACCGTTCACACGCACACATACAATGACATACATACAAGCTTGAGTGGAATACACTAGGACAATTCAATACGTGAATTACAATATTGTTGATGGAGTTTTCAATGTCTCCACTCGAACACTCTAATGGGCGCGTGGACTGATAATGAGTTATTAGCATTCATATACTCCACTGTGTCGTTAGGAACCTGAATTAATTTTTGCAACACTTCTCTCGCTGCGTATAACATGAAGTTGTAAGTCATGTTGTAGCCATATAGTGGCGAAACTCTAAGGTAGGATCAAGAGATCGCGACACATTGTATGGCGCTGCCAAATCAGATCAAAATTGGTCTGGGATTGCCTTCAAAGCCTGCTAACCCTGGCTAACCACAACAAGGTAACTCTTCAATGGGTGACAGGGCATAAGGGAATTGAAGGCAATGAAGCAGCTGACGCTCTTGCCCGGCAAGGGACTGCGACGTTGTTTATGGGGCCGGAACCTGTGTTCGGTATCCCCAAAACCTCAATACGCGGCTGGCTGGCAAGGTGGATGCAAGAAAGACATCAGGCATACTGGAACAATGTCCCAGGACAAAGACACAGTAAACTGATGGTTGGAACTCTGTCCAAAACAGTGACTAACGACATTCTGAGCCTAAACAGAAGTCAGATCAAACAAGTGACGGGACTAATAACCGGTCACTGCCCCTTGAGGAAACATATGCATCAAATGGGCATCTATACAGACGAACCCATATGCAGACTATGCAATGAGGAGGAGGAAACTGCCACCCATGTAATATTGGAGTGCGAAGCACTAGCGCGTTGGAGATACAACCTTCTGGGAGCAGTAAACTCTCAAGAGGCATTTTCAAAGAATGATCTGGTGAAGAGGCTGCGAAACCTCATCAAGGTAGCGAACCTGTTCACCTAAGTCAACAGCATGATCAGGAATACAATAGGCCCAAAGGCTGCAGTGTTTTGGGCTTCAAACCCTGACTGATCATTCTGCTATTAATCAATCAATCAATCAATCAATGGCGCTGCCATCTTCAGTCACACGTATACAGACCCTACGCTATACGCTACAGATTGGTACTACAAGTAAACCACTCTGCTGACAGATGGCACGACCTGACATATAATTCAGTGGATTTTTCCACCAACCTATTCAACTGCTAAATCTCATAACTAAGAGATCCAGAATGAACAGAGTTGTCCCAATTGTCAGCAGGAGCGAGACAGTACTGTTTCGACCCACCAGGTCTCCTCAGCCGCTCTCGGTCTGCTGACAACTGGGATAACTCTACGCTTCGAAGACGCAGGGTATAGCATGTCACATCTCACGCTACTATTGAATTGTATAATCCGTTTTCTAGCGAAAGAAGAAGAAGTGACTTTCATCGTTCTTGCTTTGTGATCTTCACTTGATATCACCTATGAAAAATATATGTTTTTTTTTTTCAGGCTGATATGTCACCAGGACATTGTTGGGCCATCAAAGGTTCTCAAGGCGGTGCTATCGTTAAACTGATAGGACAAGTTGTAATAAGCTCCGTCAGCATAGAACACATCCCTGAGTATATTTCACCTACCGGAGAGATATCATCAGCTCCGAAAGAATTTTCTGTCTGGGTAATATCTTGCAGATGATGCTACAATAGTCTATTCCTCTAGAGAATTCAATGATATAGTTGATGATATAAAAATCGACTTGAAAATGATATTATCTTGTCTACAAATTCATAAGCTGACTCTTAACTATATGACAAATCTACGTAGGTATATGATATATCGAAAACAACGATAATTTTCGACCAGAAAGCCATAACATATCTAGATGTTACAAAATTCTTAGGTCTTAATAATGATGAACAATCATCGTGGACTAAACATATAGATCACCTGAGAAAATAGCTAAATCCAATTATTGGCATTTTATACAAAATTCGAAATTTTATTCCTCTTAGATATTTGAATAATACATATTCCTGTCTGCTTTACTCAAAATTACAATGTTTATTATCAATTTGGAGAAGTACAAGTATATCACATTTGAAACCATTGATAAAATTACGAAATAAAACAATTCAGTGCATTTACAAATCACATTACCTGATGGAACCAACTATTAATCTTTACAAACCAAAAAATCTGTCGGATTTATCATCTTTATATAAAATGAAAATTTGTTCTTTCATCCATTTTGTGAGAACAAAAATTTAAATATTCAGTTTGAACTTTACCGAAGTAAAAACAACTCATACTCATGAAACGAGACAGTTGAATTCATCAATAGCAAACCCATATAACTCCAATATTGGCAAGCAATCAGTTTTCTACAACGGAATCATTTTTTTATAATTTATCACCTTATGATTAGAAACAAATCGATGATGAAACAAGATTCAAACTCAATATGAAAAAATATATACTCATCATATAATATATCCCTATTTGGCTACATACTTGGATAACGAACACCGAATACCTACTATATCCATCATCGATAATTTTAGGGTTTGAGGAGTGCTACAGACAGAGGGCAGCAATTAGGCCAATTCACTTATGACATGCACGGCCCCCTAGTGCAAACTTTCACCATAAAAAATTCGAAAACCTTCGAATACGTCGAATTCACCGTGTTGTCCAATCATGGTAATTCCGATTTCACATGTGTGTATAGGTGAGTTTGCTCTTCTCAAAAATCAAGTTAGTTTCTCTCGTTATATCTTTCATCGTTTATGAAGTTTTTACTTTTGCCATAAATTTCCATCAAGTAACGGCCGAGTCAATTCAAAATTCGTTATTTGTCATCTCGTCTCGTCTCAATGTATACAGGGTGTTTCAAAAAAACCTATCCCCCTTGCTAGGGTAGGTAGAACACTGCAAAATAAGTTTGGTTTGCTCAGTGAAAAAATGTCGTAACAGCATTCGTTTTCATGATTGATTTTTTTACACATTCTTCACGATTATGTCGAAACTACTGGCAACATCGTGATGAAATTTTGTATGAATGTTCCTTGAAATCTGACACATCACATGAATTCGTTTTTATATCTGACTCTCATAGAGGGCGCTAGTTACAGGGTTCGTACCGAGTAGTTTAGAACATAACTTTTTTGAGGTTATATATTCCATTCCAAATATGATATCAACTTGAACATCATTCAATTTTACACCAAAAAGGTACTTTTGGTGAAACTCGATACTATGTTCCGTTTTCGGAATATTTCGATTTGAAAATAATGGAGTAATAGCTGATGCTGGTATAAAATGAATTTTATTGAGTTCAATTACCGATTTATTCAGATTCAAAAACAATGAAATTATTCTTGTGCTGAAGTTATTGATGGAAGAAAGAATCATAAGTAGAAAATTAAGAGATTTTTTACATAAAACATGAAATATTGAATCAGTTAGAGTAAGTGTTCAAAATGTCCTACGTTTCGAAGAAAAAACGATTCTATATTCTTTTCTTAAGAATGTATTGTTCTTCCAATTATGTCTTACAACTCTTGACGTGAATTCACCTATGTAGCATAGACTTTCTCCTCAAGATACAACAAAACTGTGTAATCCATGTTGTTAGTCAAATCTGTTTTGATGTTATTCTTGTGATTCATTGTTAAATCAATAAGTTCAGCATCAGAAATGTATTGTTGTTTTCGGTTTTCAATAAATAGGTGATAATTTTCCGTAATACTCAGTCTAATACATAGCTTTATACCAGCAACAGTTATCATTTCATCATTCTCAAATCGAAATATTCCGAAAACGGAACCCAGTATCGAGTTTTACCAAGAGTACCTTTTTGGTGTGGAATTGAATGATGTTCAAGTTCATATCAAATTTGGATTGAAAAATCTAACCTCAAAAAAGTTATATTCAAAACTACTCGGTACGAACCGTGTAACTAGCGCCCTCTATGAGAGTCAGATATAAAAACAAATGCATGCGATGTGTCAGATTCCAAGAAACATTCAAACAAAATTTCACTACAATGTTGCCAGTAGTTTCGACATAATCTTGAAAAATGTGTAAAAAAATAATTTTTTCAACACCCTGTATCTTGATAACGAATGCCGTTACGAAATTTTTTCACTGAGTAAACCCAACTTATTTTGCAGTGTTCTACCTACCCTAGTAAGGGGGTCAGGTTTTATGGAAACACCCTGTATATAAATTGGATTATTTGGAACCAACATGATGTGAAACCTTTATAAACCAAATGAAATATTAGATCCTCAATCAATATATAAATTTGAAATAATAACATTCATTCATTCAGTCAAACTCAATTATAAACATTCCAATTTGAATTTTAAAATTATTGATGAAATACAGTCACATTTTCCTCACTAAAATCAGATCTGAATTTGGCAAGAGATCTATATATTACAATGGATTATTACTTCACAATGAATTGCCGAGAAGACCTAAAGAAATATCAGTACCAAAAAATTCAAGAAAGAACTTAAAAAATATTTGTTCGTCTGAATGTTGTCATGTTATCCATATAGAGATCATATAACATATCAATTATTCTAATCATTTATTCACTCTAGCGAGGATCAGCTCAAACTCTGAAAATTACTAAAATAATTATTATACCTACACCTACTAGGTATATTTTGAATGTAATGTAATACATTATTGTTTCTTGGGAATAATAAAGATGATGAAGATTAAACATTTCGAGACGATATCAAGACGAGACTTTTTTTCGAGGCGAGATCGATGAGAACACTTCAAGATCGAGAAATAATTCCGAAATTTCTCGATCTCCAAAATATACAGGGTGTCCTATAAGTAATGGATCAAAAGAAGTGGGGTAGTAGGAGGGGTCAGTTGCAATCAAACTAACCGTGTATGTGGTTATCCAATTGTCGATGTTTCAAAAGATATTCAATATTTTGAGTTTCTAACTAAGTGTGTCAAATTTTTCTTTAAAAAAGTGTATTCGATTGGATGCACCTTTTCCACGAAATGATTTTTAGCACCTGTGTTACTCTGTATCAAACATTAGCAATTCAATTGATTTTTTATTGCCGCTGGCAGATTTGGAGATCACTTCGGAAAGATGATCAACTATCAGAAAAATTTGCCCATTTAATAAAGATTCCGAAATGGTATAACATATGCGGAAATTCAAAACAGACTTTTTATTATTATTGATTTTGTATCCGAAACAATCAAATAGTCGTTAAACGACGCCCTCTATAAGACGCGGTATGAACTAGTGACCGTAAAGAAGGTCAGTTTTTAATAAATGTGAAATTATCTTTCAAACGAGCCCAATTTGATTGAATTAGGATAAGGGGTATGCAACATACAGCAATTTGAAAAATATTTTGTTCACAATCTTTTTCCACCATTATTATTAAAAATAAGAAAAAAAAAACCTGGAGACGAAAACAACGATAAATTGATGATATTTTATTTCCGTTATCAAAAAGTTACCTTTCAAAGCGATTTTCTGAAATATTTTTAATTTATCGTTGTATCATATCGGTCATTTTGAAAAATAGAAAAAATATTATTTTAAATCATTACCTTATCGCCGATTTTATCAATAGATATTAATAATAATAACATTTATTGATCCCAAGAAACATGCAATGTTTATAGAGGGAAACAAAAAAAATAAAATGAAATCAAATATGCAATACAATGAAAGATAAACAGTTCAATCAAAATTAATTGGTTTCCATAAGAGCGTACCTCGCCGACCTTAGTCGGACACCCTGTATTATAGCCTCTGTATTTTGAAGTATTTTTTTTATTGAAAAATTGTAATGTCACGACGAGCTTATACTATCTCTATATCGAGAATCAGTCGGGAGAAATCCATGAAAATATGCATGCTTATATTTTAGAATACGCTCTCTTATTCTAAAATATTTTCACCAATGCAGTGTTGCCGCTTCTATCAAAAAGTAGCAACAACTTTGTTGTTTCAAATAAAATACCCTGTATTTCACTGCATTTTTGGATGCTTCCTGAAGAGAGAGTAGCCAATTCAATGCAACCATATACGCTACAACTTATGTATTCATTCTTTATCAACTTATTTTTCAGGTTTAGAGTACATGGCGAGCTGGAGAAACACTGAAGTATACAAAGAACTGTAAATACCTTTACAAAATGTTCTTACATTCTTTTACAATAAATTTTTTATACCCAGATATAGTACCTTCATTTAACATCCTGCAAAAGTTTTATGAGATCCACCAAATGGATTTCCATCAAGTTACGGCCGAGTCAATTCAACAAATTTTATTAATTTGTCTTGAACTTACTTATGGACGAGGAAAATAGTTATTTACCTAACAAGTGCGAAAAGTAGTACTTTTCCGCGAGAGTTAGCTACAAAGTTTTTCCTACGAGTGTTTTTGTCCATATTATTTATGAAAAAAAAAGATTTTTGAAAGCAATAGCTACAAAATGGCACATAAGACAAAATAGTTATATGGATCATTTAGTTAGTCATGAATATCCTCATTTTAAACAATTCACTGCGAAATAATTAAATAAGTTCTTTTTTCTACTCACAAAACTAAAATGGCATTTAGCGTACGGATATGTACCACGCTAAATGATCGATCAATCACGGATTGACGATCTGTGATTTATTTAAAATATTAAACACGTCACCACGGCAACACGATTTCTTAAACACCTCACCATGGCAACACAGTTCATCAAACACAGCGTCAGTAATTTGAGACATGTCTGGCCTGTCAATTGTATTAACTGTCAACTGTTATTTTAAAATTTTGTATCATAATTATTCAAACAATATTCGTTTGTATCATAATGAGTAGACGAAAGTGAAATCGAAGAGAATGTTCTGGTACTTGCATATCTCCAAGAAGTGTAGAAATGAAGCATCCATCTTTGAGAACAATTTACAGTGCAGACTCGATAATCCGAACGTTCAATAATCCGAATTCTTCAGTAATCCGAACAAGCATTTTTAATACATTGAGTACTCTATAATCCGAATTTCAAAGTACTCGTTAATCCGAACCCATACCTATTTATTTCCTATAGAAATTGTGAGTGGAATGTTCAGGGATTTCCCTAATTGTTCTTTTGTTAGTACATATCTGGGATTCACATTACGCAAGGAAGAAAATAATATTCCGTTAAATGATATTCTTGTACTTTATTCACGAATTAAATATTGTGAAGTTTCGCAGCATCGGCTGGGGAAAGTCCTGCACGATTCGCTGTTGCGTTCCAATTAACAGTGCTGCTCCTAAAGTGTGGTTGTGAGCATCAGAGAAGAAGTAGGACGGTGTATGTAGGTGGGTGTGGAAAACTACCAGCTGAGCGTGAGAGCGGGCCAGCTGCTTAAGTAGACCTCGGTCTCGGGGGTTAACGATGATAGTTAGCAGGCCTGCCACTGCGCATATGGTAGTGAGTACATTACTAGCCTACAAAACACAGCTGAAAAACTCTGAAAAGAGAGCTGATGGGCGGTGCCTGAAAAGGATGTTAGCCAGCTCTCTTGAGCGAATTACATCAGTCATTGAAAACACTTGGGGTTGGCAAAAAGGTCCCATTGGGGACTAGTTGCTGACGTGGAAACGTCCCCCACCAGTACCAGTACCAGTACCAGTGTACTTCAGAGATTACAAGAAATGGCCTTTATAAATAATCAAAGATGTGTTAAGCAAATAAAAATTACAAATTACTTTAGAAACTAGTATTATATTCTTACTTTTATGCATATTTTAGTGTTACATTTTCGTATTTATGTTTTTTTTGCATTTCGTAATGAAAAATTAAAAAAAAAACTGCTTCGATAATCCGAATTTTTTGGTAATCCGAATCGCCTTGGTTTTTATTAGTTGGGATTATCGAGTCTGCACTGTATTTATTCTGAGTTGATTCAATAAATTGGTGGATGAATAGAAGCGTTCTCGCCATTTCTTCAATTCAGTACATACAATATCGATATTTCATATCCTGTATTAGGAAGGTGGGAAATTCCAAAAGCATTTCGAGATATGGACCTGAAGATTTGAGGAGGATGATTTGCAGAATGCAGAAAGCAGAAAATATCCTGTGAAATACAGGGACTCATAAACTTTCGAATATGTAACGTTATTTTTGACCTCACGGTATGTCATAACTGGAAAACTTTGATGAGTATCGAATGAATCCTGGACAGAAAGGACGCATCTTCTGAACACTTCGTTTCGAATAAAAATTGGTCGATTTCCAAAAAATATTGTTACATATTGGAAAAAGTTGAACATCCAAGTGGTCCTTGTTTCTTTGGGCACTTTATGCCATTTTTTGTGGTAGTCGACTGGTTGCTAAATCCTAAAGGTATGCCAGTAAAGTTTTTCCAGTTCTCTATATCCACAAAAACTCATGATTCACCACCTCTAGGGATTTTCTATTTCAATAGACATATTTCGAAGGTCCTATATTCTATATAAAAATCCCTTCATGAATTTAACATTAATCAAGAAATCTATCAATTGGCTAAAAACTTTAGGTATCGACAATTTTTCATAATATACCTAGACCTAGGTATTTAGAAAATGATGGAACGTCTCATAAAACTGCTACAATTCCACAACCATATTTGTGTAAGTTTCATCTGATTCTGGTGGATCTTTGAAGCGCTCTCACCATTTTTTCAAATATCCGCATCAAATGTAATAAGCTCCCTCACTGCAAGAATAGGTATATAACTTTTTATGCACGACAGGACGTGAAGTAGTACTTTACCGACCAGTTTTGCGGTCGAAAAGAGGCGCCTTACCGAGCGGGGACTACTTCACCGACGGCGTATAAAAAACTCGTGATAGGCATTCCTGTATAATTCAGGACATATGTTTTAGTTTCGATGGTTCCTTTTCCGATATTATTAAACCTCGGGTCGAACCCAAAATGATAGCATGATGATGATGATTGACTGCGATTATAATAGTCTACTCTAGAGTCACTGTATGGTATTAGTTTGATAAGAGTTCGGACACAGCTGAACTTTTGTCCTTTTCTATTTTCTATAATACAATGGTTTAAGTGAATAAAAGAATAAGACATATATTCTGCTCTTTGTCTTTTCAATTTCCCTAGTAGCGCCTGATTGTCAGATACGATTTCAGAGGTTATATTTTCTGTCAAATCAATCATAGCAGTAGATGGACAATGGATATAGGGTACAACACCCACTTCAATTCATAGTGATACCTACACTTCTAGCAGAGCAAGATTTATATAAATGAAAAAAATGCATGTAACAAACATTTTAATATCATCAGAGAATATATACATATGGATAAACTTATAGCTATAATTCCTTATTGTATGTGAAACTGTACTACATTGGAGTATTCCTGAGATAATTTTAAGAAATAATGTCTATATAAGCTTGTGTCTGGAAATGCTTCATTTCGGAGACACAGGGTGTTGAAATACAGATCATTTTTCGATAAAGATTTCATAGGAAAAAAGTAATTTATTTTGACGAGACCTACCAAATACTTGGTTTTGTACAGTTCTCAGCAACTTCACTTAGCGCCCTAGGAGCTAAGTAACACGGATCGATATAGAAAATATCTCCAAAACGATAACCTTCAGCGTAATTATGGCCCTTATAATAATTCCCTTGATACATAAATATCTATTCAGTTTTCACTGTTGAATTTTCAATTCGCGGTCAGCAGCAAAAACGCCATTCAATATAATATATCACGTTGTAGTTTACTTTAAGAGTGTTTTTAAGAGTGTTTTTAACCGCCAGCTTAGTTGCAAAGCAACCCTCGAAAGTCAGAGACTTGTGTGAGTTAAGTTTACTTGCTTTTCTGAATTTCGTTTTCAAATTTTCAATTTCATAATGTGATTTTGCGATCATTTCCCCTTTTTCCATGATTATTTTGTTTTGTATTTTGTGTGATGATAATAATGGAATTTTGTTCTTGAAATCGTTTGCTTTGTAAATTGATGGAACAGCAGATTCTCTCAAACAGATTTTGAAATCTTCTGTTTGAAAATGGGCCTAAAATATAGATTCATTCTAATCAGATGCTGTTATAAGAAGTGAATTTCAATGAGTACCTACCTCACAAATTCCGCTCGTCTTCAAATTGATTTTCCACCCAGGCCGTTTCATATCTTCCTTTCATAAGAGAATGCTTGATATTTGGTTTGGAAAATCGAATAAATGATATCCATTTGTTTCATAATTGGCACAATTTATTATACAGCATAGCTGCTTTTATCTCGAAAGTATGATGATTATGAAATTTAATTTCAATTCTGACGTTTATAGAATGAATTGTCAAATTCAAACAATTTTGAATGAAAAATCGCGGGACGACTATGATGCTCTTGTCACAATGCAAGGTGTGTAACTTGATGAATCTAAACATTCAAAAACCCTAACCGTTGTCATTTCTGTGTCCGAACTCTTATCAAACGAATAACATCCAGTGACTCTAGTCTACTCAAATTACAAAAAAATCACTGAGTTACCATGGTAACGTCAATTCCATCAATATACATTCAGTTCCAAAAAAAGTGACGCACTTGATATTTGACCTACCTTCTTAAAAAAAATGTAGGCCGATTTTAATTTTTTTTTTCATTTGTTGGTAGGTGATGCATTTTTTTAAAGAAAAATGGAGAGGTGAACATTTTTTCAAAGCCTCCTTGATGGTGGTGGAATAACTCGAACCATGATTTATTCTTAATTTTTGACTCACCCTGTGTGTTAATTGAGTGATGGTATACAAAGTGCTTGCACCCTATACGAAAGAGGCTCCTTTTGCGAGCATTTTGTTTTTTTATTCATTGATTTATCTCTAAAATTTTCCGAATTACAGCTTTTTTTGCTGAATTCTTGCAGATTACCAACTTTCTGAATTTATTCTTCCACTAATGCATCTGCCATTTCTGCGAGACTTTCTATTCACTTGCTATTCATAGATAAATATTATGCATAAACGGGCACTAAAATGCATTTTGCCGCTTGGTTTTGCAGGCGTAAAGTGACACTTTAGCGCCCCGAGCCTATTTTGTGGAATGAACCTCTTCTAGTGAATGGAAAAGTTTTGCTCCAAATGGCATAGAAAGGGGCTTTTCATGGACGTATAAACAATGGGCTTTTCTATGACACTCAACAGAAAGCAGAGGTGTACTTCTTCTGCCTAGGCAGGAAAAT